AAGTGGCAGGGTCCTTACAGAATTGACTAACGGTGTCTTCGCGTTTGCCGCTATGCTGTTTATTGGGATCCAGAATTTTTAAACTATTATATCGCGTTTTTAAACCGTTATATATTTAAATAGTTAAAGTTCTTTGAATTTTAACTACAGCCCGAAGTTTCGTATGCTTTGCAGCAGCAGCAGGATACTGGCTCAGTGTTGTATTTAAATGTGCACTAGTCGCGTAAACTACAGACTGTATTTAGATATATGCTAGTTAAACAAAGTTAGTGTAACATTGTTAAATAACTATAATATTTAACGTTATTATCACGTTGAGTTGACGTCAATCAGAACTAATAACCAATTCACTCGTAAATAACTAATATAATATTACAATGTCCAATTTCAGATTCTTGAAGTAATCCAACAACGATAAGACAACTTAATGCAATATTACCGTTTGTTTATAGTACACAGTAGACGTAGAATGCACATACACATTAAATAAAACACTTTTAACGGCTTCAAATAGTTAACTACGAGACTACGATCGTCAGGTCATAGTCAGAAATAAGATAAGTAACATATTTCGCGTTTAAATCTGTTCTAATAAAGACGTTGTTAGTCTTACCATTTAGAGCATGGAACGATGTGGTCGCCGGTTCACGTCGCGCCCGTGTCGTTAAAAATGTTCAATGTTAAATCGATGTTTTACTTATATAATGCCGTCATGTGCAATAACATGTGGCAAATTAAAGATTTTCTACCTAAATTGTAAACAATAAAACAAAAATCATTCAAACGGTGTAACGTCGTGGTCGAAAATAAGTTAATGTAGTAATTTAAACTAGTCTAATTATTTCATTTTAAGATTGAATGTTGTGACAATTTTTTTGTGATAGGGGGAGATAAATAAAAACAAGGTAGGTACACTTGATGGTAGCTGAAATACCCCAGCCACATAACATCTAAACAAGATTTGCTGTCGACCTATTTTGGCTTTGGATATTCGATAGTACGAGAAACCGAGACGCGATTAAGCCTCACGGCTTTTTCATCTGTCGACGGTGGTTCGTGACCCGGACATAATTTCGATATGCCTACCATCAATTTAATATCCTGATTTTCAGACGAAGTTCAACATGTTTTAGAAAAATCTATATAACCCGATGAAATAGAATTCACGACCCGTTGATGTTTAGCCATACACAGCGACCATTAGTTTATCTACCATTTATTTATCTAGTAACTTAAATTTGTATTTGAAATATCAATCATGTAAATCTGCGTATTGTCTCGAAGCCGGTAATCACCAGAGCAATCATCATCTCGTTTAAATCACCGCGGTTAGAAAGTGAACCCTTGTATAATGTCTATTGTGTAAGGGCTACAGCTAAAACTGCATTGATTGTCATCTGTCAATGTTTCAGTATCTGTCAATAAAGTACAATATTATTTGTACTGGTTTAGAATCAAGTGTCTGTACTGTAAAATTTATCATCCTATAATGTATAAAGGCTTTATTTACAGGCGAGTAGAAATTAAAACACTTGTAACGGTTAAAAGCGCGAAATATATTAGCTACACTTATATTTGAAGTCTGTCAACAGTAAATATTTTGTTACCTGCCAATATAGAACAATATTATCTAATATATGTATATCTCAATTGACACCGTTAAATAATAAATTACATGGTTTGGGGGGGGGGTTGGTTTGCTACGTGGTAGAGGGTGGTAAGGTCCCTCCCTTCACCACAGCTCTGCAAAGAATCCGAAATGACGGGCCGTAGTTTAAATACATTGCAAATAGGTTAACTGATACATGTCGCGTTTTGAATCGTTAAAAGTGTTTTATTTAAATGTGTAGGTCTCTTCGTACAATACTAACACTACAGACTGGTTCAAATTTAACTTAAAACTAAGAAAATGCAAAGTAGAAGTTCCGAGGTTCCAAGACGGTGGCAACCCTACTTGTGAATGGCAACGCTTACTGACCTCGATTAAAACTTTTCTCGTTCTTTTGTTACACTCAATACTTGTGCTAGCCCTTAGGATTAACGCACACCGGACATCGCGAACAACCGCAAAACGCCCTGAGTGTGCATAGACCCGCGACTGACTTGAGTCTAGTCACTAGTGGTTCTGGACTCGAATTCCATATTGAGCAAAACATCATTTCGGTAAAAAATAAAAATATGGTAGACCTCCTGGCGTCGATCGTCTGTATAACTAATAATTTGTATGTACTGTCTATAGTTTACGCGAGTAGTACACATTTAAATAAAACACTTTAACGGTTTAAAACGCGATATATTAGTTAAACTTATTTGAAAATGATTTTTAACTTCGGCCCGACGTTTCGGCAGCTGCTTATTTTAGTTTAACTAATATATCGCGTTTTAAACCGTTAAAGTGTTTTATTTAAATTTGTATGTATATACTCAACGGATCGTGGGTTAAATACCCACCGGGTAAACATGTTTCTTATCAAATTATTATTTAGAAGAATGTAGACCTTCGTCTGAAAACCTGGATCCAAGTAAACCTCCGTCTACAGATGAAAAAGCCATGAAGCTCAATTACGTTTCGTTTTCAATCCAAACGCAAAATTTGTTTACAGCGCACCTTATCAAGATATGGCTGGGGCATTTATACCCACCAGATACTTAAATGAAATTATATAAAGCGACAGTATATATATCGAAACGGCGTTTTGCGAGTCTATCAGGTGGCATGTGTGCGGTGACCCTAAACACTGATGTAATGTTACACTTTGACATTTGAAGTCGAATGAAAAATTTCATATGAAACTAATTGCTAAATTAATTAATAAAAGCCTTTAGGTGTTAAAACTGTAATATGTATAATCAAAATAATACGACTTACATTATCCACACTTTAAATTGCACATTACTTTGTTCTCAATCTCTTTGGTATTAAGAACGAGTGGTTTACATAATGTTCACGTAAAAGATATATCTATATTCATATTATAAAGCTGAAGAGTTTGTTTCTTTAAACGATCTTGGGAACTATCGGTTCGAATTGAAACCTCTTTTTGTGTTGAATCGAGGGAGGCTTTAGGCTTATGAGGCTGGTAGATGTAGAGTGGCCTAATAAAAAATAACATTATATTCAATACGGAGAAAAATAAAAACGCGTAATTAACTTAGGCGAAACTGAATTTTTCCTATTATTTGTGTAAGAATTGTAACAATCTTCGGTCACTGTGCTCTTGTTCATAATAAGTCATAACTGCAGTTAGGCTCTAGCAGCCTAATCAAACTACGACCAATAGAAACAAAGAAATGTAAAAAAAATACGGTGAAAAATCATTTTCAAGAAAGCAAAACAATCTGAATGTCATTGAAAAATATAGGTTATCAACTGAGAAGTTAAAAGAAGTGACAGAATCGTTGATATATAGAGACTTACGTAACGTCTGTTGTGCATTACAATATAATACACTCCTAATCTCCCAGCTGCTTCACGGAAACAGTCCTCTTTGAGAAAACATATTTATAAAATATAGTACAGGTCGGAAGGTACCTACTCGACGATCAGGACTGGATCGTTATCTGCCAGAACCGGTTCGGGAGTGCCTCCTCAACCAGTTATAACTGGTTCTAGTATAAAATGTATTTCTTGACATGATGTGTTTTTCTATTTAACATTAGACTAACTGTTGGATTTAGACACTGTACTAAATGTGTTTTATCGTGATCTTCGTCAGGTTAGGGAGGGATAACAGAAACGATGAAAAAATTTTTTAAACTATGTATTTTTTTTATAATTTCTACATTTTCTTTTTTTTTACTGTCTATGAAATAAATATCAATTTTAAACAATTGATTTCATTTTATTGTTAGTTTTGTATATGTCGACAAGTTTAAGAAGTATTTTTTTTACGTTTTTTTTCTCATTTTTTCGATGAAAGTGAACTCTAGTACTATGATATTGTGCGTTTTAAAAACACTGGACCCTACAAACATTTAGATTTCGTTAAAAAACTGTTAGTCTATTGATTTCCATTTAACATAGTTCATTACACTGGAGGAACAAAATGCTCATCCGATAACATTTCGTCATTATAAAGGTACCGTTAGTACAAAAATTTCTCTCTTCACACTGGACTACAGAAACGCATCGCGTCGATAGAAAACAATCTTATAAAATTACAATCTTTATATTAACTTAAATAACTTAATACTTGTTATAACTATAATAATGTAACCTGAGATCTTTGCAGTATGTTGCGACGCGGGAGCGCGTCTCTCCTATTGCCGTCGCACTATTCTACGCGTCCTTATCGATTATTAAAGTATAATATTTTTTCCATTTAAATTTTATACATTACAAAAGTAGTATCACAAACAAATGTACGAACTAGTAATTACGAAATCGTACACATATCTGACCCCTCGCGAGATCGCCTCTAATAAATACAATCACGATACATATACCAACTCTAACTTCAGAATAGAATCGTACATAACACTATTACGACCGCTGCGCGGCGGCGACTGAGATCTTGGTGCGCACCTACCGCCGCCGCGCCACTCACTCGTCCAGCCACTCTCCAGACATACCCACATGCGACAATAAAATACGAACAATGTTTAACGTAACGGACGGCGCGCGGGGTGGGCGCAACGGTGGGCGAGGAGAAGACGAGGGTCGAAGGAAACAGGGTTGAGAGGAGGTGTAGAGATCGGCGCTCACCACCGCGACCCGTCGCACGCCGGCCGCGCCGCAGCAGCCGACAGCCGAAGAAGACTGCCGCTTTGGCGACAAAGCGGGTTTCAATCGGCGCCGACGGCTGCGCCGTCGCCGGCGAAGACTATGCGCTTCACGCGCGCTTAATCTACTACTTTACATTACATATCACGCTGTGCTTTTTCTCTTATTAAAAATATAATTAATATACATATAATAATATTGATATTTGTTAAAATAACGATACGTAGATATCGAGGAGGGCAGTCAGTCGGCTCGCTCGCACCACGCTATCACCGTCTTAGTCGGCTTGGCTTCGGAAAAGCTTTTTCTTCTCTATCGTGAACTGGGGACTGATGATGATGGTGCCGCCTCGCGTTAAGTTTCTGCAAAGGAGGGAACCGGTTAGATGATGTATTACATTTCGTCAGATAAGAATCTGATAAGAATCTGATAAGAATTCAACGGAGCAAGTTGAAATTTCTAATGAAACTCACTTTAAGAATTGCGGCAACAGGCTCGTCCAGTTCGTCGCGTCGTGTTCTAGGTGTAAGTGGATTTCGTGCGTCGTTAACGTGTTAGGGTCTATCTTGAAAGCCGCTAACCGCCTCCCCGCCACGTCGACGATGACGGCGGCGCCTCTAGAGCCGCAGGGTTCGCCTTCCGCAAGCGCTAGCGTCTGCCGAGATGCTCTAGCGAGCAATTCAGCTGGCACTAGTACTTCCGCCGTCGCTAGCTCGCTGGCACCTTTAGCTGCCCTAAGCTCTCGCTCCAGCCTCTGAGCCAACGCAGTCTCCGTCGGTACCGGCACCGGCGCTTCCCGCCACGTCGGCCCATTCCATGCTACAACAAAAGAAAAAAATTGTTATATATCGAATCGTAAAATCTATAGAGCATCCCTAATTTGTAGAAAAAAAATTGAATTTAAAAGTTTAAATAAAACAATTGAAGAAGGAAAGTAATAAAGGCAAGAGAGCGCATCGATCGAACAGCTGTTGCGTCAGCTGACCGTGACGTTTGAGTCCCGGCATATTATATTCCAGTGGACAATGGAACAATGGTACTATGTTTAAATTTGATATAGTATACTTATGATATTATTGGTAAAAAAAACTAGAAATGACGGTTTGAATTCCAGTACGTTACATCAAATACCGGAGTGACTGCGCGCGCCGCGTAGCAACACAGCTGAGCGCCGGTTAGAAAGCCGACTTCCCTCACCACTCGACAGAATAGAAAGTAGACTCACCTTTTTCACTATTGAATCCGACGTTAAACTGGCTCGTAACCGGTAGGATTTCCATGTTCTCCAAATTTTTACTTATATTGTACACTTTAAATACGAAAGAATCAACGTTCCTTCACGGAACTTAAATACTAGAAAAATATCACAAGTCTCTTTTGTACTGCGATGCGCACTGTAGGGCCGGCTCCTAGACCGGGACTAGCTATCGTGTGGAGATCGATTGGGAATAGAAAACGTCCGAAGTTAATACGACCTCATCAGATCTGATCTCGTAACCACAGGGTTTGTCTCTCACCCTCGGCTCACTGTTCGACCCACCCGACCCTGTCGCTTTCTGTGGACTGACGCTGCGGGAAGTGTTTTCGGTTTATATAGAGGGCCCAGGGCGGGGGTGCGGGGGGTCTCTCCGCGGCCGGCGGCGGTCTCCCCGCGCGCCAGTTACAATCGCTCGCGTTATCGGACGCACGTCCCTTTGTTGCTCCGACCCGGTGTACAACAAAATGCCGGCCGGCTTTCTTTGTCTCGGTGCCTCTATAACGTTTTAAAAAATATCTAATCCCATTCATTCAGTGATCTTAAACTAATAGGTTGTAATATAACAACGGTTTTACATAATAAGTTCTAGTCGTAAGTGTATTTTTAAGTTTGTGTAATTATGTTAGCAAATCGTCAATATCTAGGTAAATATGATTAGCTTATCTAAATGTAATGCAGATAAGAGCTGTTATCGGCTAGACGGACGACATCTTGGCTGGTTTCGTTCGCGAACGATAATGATAATTACATTGTAATGAATCTTTGTTCTCGAAATCTAGCGCCTTTGCTTATAAATATTTGTACAATATAAACTGTTTAACTTGGTGCATTTTTTTTGATTTTAACTAACAAAGAGTTCTAGAAGTTTCCCTGTCAATATAAGTAAGTTTAAAACGATTCAAAATAACATAAAACATATTTAAATCGTAGGTTTGCTCACTGAAAATTTGAGTGGAAAAAAAAAGATTACAATGAGATAACAAAGAAAATGTCGATATGTAATTAAGTATTTTTAAAACATATAATTTCAACTGAAAACACGTAGATTTCAAAACAACAAATTTTTATTTTCTCCGGCAACATGCAACCAAAATTGCGTCAGATTGCTAGAAAGTTCCATCGTTTAAAAGGGGTGACATTTTACTTAAATTGTCAATTGTCTTTCATTAAATTTGATGTTAATTATCTAGGAGATAGTGTGTTACGATAAAAGTAATGACAGTACAGATAAAACTAAAAAAAACAAAACAAAAAATATCTCCTATCTATCTGCTATTTCCGACACTAATAATAAAAAAATGATGATTCAGATAATTACAAGTTCAATGTCCAATCAAATATAAAAATAGTAAAATTTCACTAGCCTAACATAGGCAGTTAGCACATTCGAAATTGCACAATAACTGTACTACGTAAAAAAGACGCTGCCGAAAGTTTCGTAATTACCGTAGCAACAGCGAGGCAACAAAAAGCGGCGTAAAAAAGAGAAATGGAAAGATTTAGTTGCTACGCTGAGCCGGCCGGCTTTTTGCCCTTGAGTGAAGATGACTCACCAGCACTGGTGAAACTTATCGAAAAACGCGTAATATTCGACGAATCGACTGAGCGAGTCTAAATTATCGATACGCGTTATCACATCACTAAAAAGAATTTTGGCGAAAACGGAACTTGGTCTTCCTAGAACGCGACGGCAGAATACTGAACATCGGAAAAGTAAACAAAAGATAGCGAATTCGACAGAGTGGCCTAAAAACACATGATTTTCAATAAAAGTAAAATAAAAATGCGCAAAATGAATTAGTGTAAGAATTACGTTAACAATTATCGGTCACTGTGCTTTTGTAGTTTAACCTTTTTAGACTATAAAAATATAAATAAGTCAAATCACAAAAAAAGGCAGTTAGGCTACTCTGCGGCTTCAATTATTTCGTTTGCAAAATATTGTGATAATTCAACCTCATGATTCAATTCTTTCGGATGTTGAAAAATTTATCGGATGTTTAAATAAAACATCGCCTCTGTAGAAAATGGATAAACGGGGTTAAAATCCCGGGGATTAAAACCTTAAAACAATAAGTAGTTAATTAAAGTATTTAGTTTATTCCGTTAAAATTGTATTATTTCAATGATAATTGCAGACAATACTTAATATAGCGGATGTGATAAAGACGAGACACTTAACCGAAAAGGCAAATTGATCGTATTACAAAAGAATTAGTTATAAAGACTACTTAGTTCCAGAGTAACTAATATATTCGACTCTGGCTAGAAGAAGTAATTTGTACCCAATAAAACTGGTTTAAATTCATTGTCTTAACATGCAATAATTTTTTCTTGGAAAAAAATATTAAAACACTTACAGACAAAGACTAAATTGTACAAAAGAAAAGATAAAAAAAATAGATCATTACTAGTAACTTAAATAATTAGTACTAAGATCCTTAGTAGATGGGCATATAAATCGAACAAAAAGCGTTTTAATAAGAACCAAGAAATTTTTATAGTTTAAGTTTTTCGATTGTAAACACTACGATGTAAGACTGGACCTGTTTAAGGCGTTAAAAAGGGACGAGAGCCGGATAAGGTCCTATCTCGTACGAACACGTCGCAACCTGTTTGCTACTTGTTTCGTGTTCTTTAATAGGTTGATGCAACACAAGGGATGTGTGGTATCATTGGAGGGTTATAGGGTTGCCAACGTGTAAACGAGAAATTGTTTTCTCATTTTCGAGCTATTCGAATTTTCAACATGCCGCAGAAAATCATCGACATTTTAACGTACAGCTTGCGACAATAGATAATGATGTTACTCTATGTGTTTTTTTTTTGTAAATTTTAAGTAATCACATAGTCATTCTATCGTAAAAGAAATTCTGCGATCGTAGAGTAAGTGTATAAATAAACAAATAAAATAATCAGCGACAATTTTACAGTTTTACCTTTGACAATTCAAAATTCGTTAATTACAGATTTATAATATATAAAAAGATTTGGTTTAGATTTCGTATTACGTCAACTAAATGCAGACTAAAAATATAGTACAATATCGTATATACGTACATCGTGCGATTGACAACCCTATTTATAGCATTATAATAAGTAGATACGTATGATGTAATATTGTTACTATAGGGATTTTGTTTGTAAATCTACTTAAATTTTTAGTGAAATGTATAAGTACAGTAGAATTGATATATTTACAGTAATGTATTTTGTGCATAGACAATGTATTGTATTTCATGTTTTAATAATTTTGTTTGACAAAAGATAAAACTAGATTTACGAATATTATCTGTGAGTACGATTAATAAATTATAAGTACGATATTAAGTATAAGGTACACTTTTATTGTGTTTACTGGTAAGAACAGTCAAGGTGCTATTGTTATAATCTTTCTTTATAAAGAGATGTTTCATTTCTTTGCTTTGTTCGTCACGTACGCCAGCCGAATCATTGTTAGTTGCTCTCCTAATCTCATGTGTATAAAACTCTGTTTCCCCAATTCACGGAATGGGGTAGACACATTTGTGTGTCCGCTTTACAGATTATACGGACAGATTGTCATTTTCGTCTCATCACTGTAACCATGTTCCTTTGTGATTTAGGACCACGCCCTCTCGCGTTGAATAACAAAGTAAATTTAACGCACATAGTTTTATATCACCTACTGTATAAAAATTGTAATAAATAACCTTTTTCTACATATTATTAATATGTTTATGGTAGCTGACTTCATAATACGAAAAGATTGCCTCATACTGAAGTTGCACTGACGCTATAACGCGGCCAATTTTAATAGGCAGCTACTTAGCACTTTGAACGGGCAAGTTTGGACTCGTCGATTGTTTGGTTTATAACGTGTTTGTCTTCATCAATATGTTAGGTGTGTTGCGCCAAGTTCGTCCGAACTCATTAGCAATTTTAGATTGTTTTTGTCGCCAACACGTGCTCATTGTGTTAATATTTATCATATTAATTCAGTTTCGCCTGACCTTGCGAGATAAAAGTTGGTGTTGAATTAAAATTGTATGATAAACTAATGTAAGATTTAATTAGCTTGGGTTATTATGAAAATAAATTTTGTTGAGTCGACTCGTTTGTTTTATTTATATACCAAAATCAAAACAAAAGTTTCTAGTTTAAAGAATTTAATATAATTTTAGGTACAGATTTTTTACCAAGATCTAATAACTTCGCCTTGTTTTAGTGCCGATATTCTGAAACAGCTTGATTTGTAAAAAATATCAAATGTAGGTCTAAGAATCTGATTATATAAATTTTTCACACCCGATGGATAAGAATTATCTTTATACAATAATATTTCTGTTTATAAAATTATTATTTTTTATATGTAATATGGCTTAAAAAAACACATTACCAAAATTTCTTTGTACAATTTTGACAATACAAAATCCATAGAACTAATAGTCAAGATACCGTTTGCCAAGTCAAAGTTATTTAGTTTTTCATGTAAAAGTTAAAATTGTACTGTGTCTTTAACATTTTTTCTGTCACAGTCAGTTTAGCTTAGTGCCGAAGTTTGATTATTATAGCCAAAGCTGATAGTTATAATTTCGCTTAGAATAGTAGTGAGTTAATAGCTCAAAAGCTTTAGTTAAATCAAAAGTTCGCTTCTACTAAAAGGAAATATGAATCCATTCATTTATTCATACCCTTAGAAGCGACCCCTTTTGATGTGTTATTCTATTGTTTCAGTAAGTTTATTTCGCTATAAAACGTAATGTCTCCTTGTGAGGCTCTTGCGGCGTAAATATAAATTCATTGAGGCTTTCATTTAAGGCTTTTGTACTTAATGCTTAGTAGGAACTATGGTAATTATCTGTGGTGGATCATAAAATTTAGATGGGGACCGACTACATACACTTTTACAATTATATGTTTAAAATGTTTAGAATTCAGTGCTGACATAATAACTTATCAATCTCCCAATGCTGGGAACAGCCAGAGGGCGTAGAAGGTTTTTAAAAGCACAGTTTCACCACACTGCTGCAGTACGGGTTGACGGGCTCCAATGACTACCACTAATGTATTGGTGATGATGGGACTATTGACGTGCTCTTTTGTGGCACGAAGGTGATGGTATATCCAAGCTGGTACTTTCTTGCATTTAAGTTTATTAAGCACTAGACCAAGGAGGTTGCCTCCTTGCTATATGGGGTCCACTCTTAATGTATCCATAATTGCTAAAGGTTTTAATAACAGATTAAATCTGAAAATAGCATAATTTATTAAGATATTTAGATTAGTATACCAACGGCATTGTTCAAGCCTAGTGTTGGGCCAGTTGTCGATAAAATTTTAAATTGTGGTAATTTTTATTAGTAGCTGTTAAATCAACATACCAACTACCAAAGTAGACTCTGAATAAAACACTTTAAGTAGTTTAAAACTCGAATTAACTAACTTAATTAAGTAAGCATATTTCACGTCTTGAATCGTTGAAAGAGTAATGTGATTTCTACTATTCTCATTGTCTCAGCCAGTGTTATGAAGTACAAGTATGTACATAATATGAGGGCGCTAGAGGCAGAGTAGCCTAACTGCAATTTTGTGACTTGAGTTATTTATATTTCTATAGTCTCCGAAAAATTTTAACAGAAATATAGTACAAATTCCTTTTCCCCTAAGTTAATTGCGCATTTATTTTTCTCCTTATCGAAAATCAGGTTTATGTTATAACAAAACTAACATGAGTTAACAAAGATATAAATACGTTTAATAGAAATATTACCATATAACGTCGAAAATCGAATAACATCCCTAACAGGTAATCATGTTTGGTACGAGTGGGTCGAAATCACCGATATTTTGGGTAATTCAATTGATTTATGCATGCAAATGGCTACCGTATATTCGGGCAGCGCTTAAAATTTAATCGTGCGCCGCTTGTTGTAGCGCTTGCAGCATTATTATGATTTATGGGTGGCTCTAAGTGCTTAACGCTTGAATTATTAATAATTATTAGCAATTATAGTTGTCCACATTCGCTTCCATGAAGTGATACTATAAAAAATAAGATAATTTTCAATGAAACAATTTAACGGTTTAAAACGCGATATATTCCGTTCCGGTTGCTTTTGATATCAGAGACACCCTCCATCATTAGTCTCCCGGGACCACGGCTACGAAGCATCCGAAACGTCGGGCCATTGTAAATAATTTTCATATAAGTTTTACTAATATAGCGTAAGAACCGTTAAAGTGTTTTATTTAAATCTGTACTCGCGTAAACTACAGACAGTATGTAATGTTTCTAGTTAATACGAGGAGTACAAATAGATCGACAGTGCATCTTCTTCAGATATGACGTGATTCAAATAATACCTCTAATACCTCGAATTTTTTTCACGTGTTATTGTACATGATACCACAATATAATTTAAAGATCGAAAATAAATTGAAAAAAATGTTCGACTCGGGCAGGACTGGAACCGGCATCGTCAGCGTTCCGTGCTGTTGCTCTACCAATTGAGCTACCGAGTCCTACACCTCATCGTCGATTTTTTTTTAGAGCAACAGCACTGAACGCCGACGATGCCGGTTCGAGTCCTGCCCGGGTCGAACATTTCTATCAATTTATTTTCGATCTTTAGGGCATTATGTTAATTACAAATATGTATTTAATTGGCGGTTCGAGTCCCGTCTGTGGAATCACTTTTGTCTGATCCCAATTGTCTGTTCTTTGTCAAAAAAAGTACATTTATTGATTTTTATTACCTTTAATATATCGAACAATCCTATATATATGTAATAAAACTCATACATTCACCCAAGTTTTTGTGATATCAACAAAAACGATTTCTTTGTTCAACGTTCAATAAAACCGAAAATTTACACCATCATTTATGTTACCACTCGCACTCAACTTTGGACTCTCCAGCGTCGTGTTAAAGTGCATTTTGCTGTGAATTAATTTAGTAGTTGAATAGCATGCCAACTAAAGTAATTCCGTAATTACAATTCTGCATAATAACGTATCCACCTGGTGTTAAATGTTTGTAAAAAGTGAATTCCCATGCGCTGTATAAGCAAAATGTCCGTTTGTGTTTAATTTTCATACAAAAACTGTTTAAAGATAGTGTAGAAGACCCCAATTCTTTTGAAGAGATATATTTACTAACTGGTAATAAACTTTTATCTTACGTAGATATTTTGGCAATTTGTACAGATTCGTAAAGCTAAGGACACTTTTAACGGTTTAAAACGGAATATATTAGTTAATGTTTCATTTATTTAACAACTTCGGACCGTAGTCAAAATAAATTAAAGATGAGTTGTGTGAATGTTATATTGCGCGTTTTAAACCGTTTGATTTAAATGTTATGTAATCCAGTTTAACTTTGAATTATAATTGAACATATAAATATGTATATTTTTCGTTGAATTATAATAACATTTGCATATAAACAATTAAAAAATTTTTAAAATTTTATGAAAATATTCAGTTTTTTTTAATTGAATAAATTAACTCACAAATAAAATATTTTTCCCTTTTTTAAACTAAATAACTAATATAGAAAATTTAAAAAAATAAAACACTAAAAAAATTTAAAAATTCTTTGCTCCTATATTACAAGTTGCCTGGAAGAGACCGCTGCTTAGAGATAAGGCCGCCTTTTTATTTAAGTTAGCACGTGAGTTTTATTTCATTATTTATATTTTGTAGTATTTATAATCAACTTAAATTGAAACGACTTTTTCACTTTGACCCAACGCTAGTATTACCAAATTCAACAAACAATATTATCGAATTGATTGCTTCGCCACCCTCCCAAAAATCAAAATAACCCCAGCTGCCGTCGACACCCTTGTTGCCATGCGGTCTTAGCCTTGACTTGTTACCCAATATCATTATTATGCAGTTTTTTAAAACTTAGGGTTGAATTAAAAAACATACATTTTTCAAACTAACTTTTACTTGCTAACAGTAACTGTACTAACAAAGGTTATTTTGCCCTATGACCGAAATTTCATTAGGTACTATAAAGACGGTTCTGGTGAGGTAATCTTAGAAGATAGACATATCCCGGATATTTATTTAGATTATTAAAAGAATAATAATTATTCCATACATTTATATTTTGGATATCTTTAAATTTTACGCAACGGAAGCCAAGCAACAGGGATGAAAAATTTTCCCCCTTTTTCTACATTTTCTTCAATAGTTCTTGAGATTACTGACTGATTTATATAAAACAGTTTTAACGGTTTTAAATGAAAAAAAAATGTGCACTTATTTTTAATCTTATTTCACTACAGATCGATGTTTCGGATGGTTTGCAGCAGCCGTTGTCACGGAAGGATATAAATAAGTGTACTAATATACCTATTGCCCGTTTTAAATACTTACTAACCTAAATACTTACTAAACAGTCGCGGAAATTTGTTTCTTGCCTCCTTACCTCTTGCCCTTCAAAGGGATATACTTCGTCCTATATCGTCGCTATTAAGACGCATTCTACGATGTGGTGTTTCCTATTGTGCGCTATACGACCAATTAAAGTTCAAAATAGTCGTTAAAATAGTCGATTTGCTTCTAAAGTGTTTAATTAAAAACAAATGACACTCGACACGGTTTGCCTAGTAACAGGGAGGGGGCCGGGACAAAATGGGGACAGATGTCCCTACTGCCACCTACCGCTATCAACGAGAGGTTATATAGTCTAAGAGCCAGCTGTTAAGCATATTTAACATCGAAGTTATGTGGTGATGCAATAAAAATATCCACTAACACTGCAATAAGGCGTTACATTTATTGTTATAAATAAAAAGCTAGTCTAAATAAACACTGAATATTAGTTAGGTTTTCTTAACGAAGAGCCGACGTCGACGTTTTCGTTGCCATGGCTACTACAAAGACACCTCGTGTAGTTAGTAATAATTTAAAGATAAGTTCAGTTCTAAGCGTCTCGCTTTAAACCGTCTTCAATATTTTATTTCTATGTGTACTTGAGAAAACAATACTTCATTGATTAATTATGATTCTAGGGTCCTATATATACTATCAACAGTTTAATACAAAAATTAAATATTTTTTTAAAAATATGCGCTATCAGCAAATTGTAAACAATTCGCATAATTTCGATGTTGAAGACAGAGCGACTTGAAGAGTGAGAGAGCAGAAATGCTAGTCTTTTAAATCAAACATTTTAACGCGATATATATTAGTTAAGTTTACTTGAAAATAGTTTTAACTACGGCCTAATGTTTCGGATGCTTTGCGGCAGCCGGGGACACAAAGCATTCGAAACGCCGGGTCGTAGTACATTTTTTTAAATTGTTTTATTTCAACAAGCAATATGATCAAGTAAACTATATGAATATTAATTAATTAAATATTATAACAATCAACTCCTACGCTAAAAACGCGTGCCGACGACTTCTAAGTTATGATCTCAAATGATCTTATAATTTGATTATTTTTAATGCAGCCTCTCTTTCGTCTGCGCAAAATTAACTTTCCGTGATATTTACTGCGTCTTAAATCGCTGTGGCGTAATTTGCTTTTAACTATTGTTTATTGGCATTGTTATTTTCTGTGGTCTGTCTTATATCTGTGGTAAATGGTTCTGTCAATGTCAAAACTGTCACCGCTATATTCTGGATTCTGGAATCCATAAAAATGTATTTGTTGCTGTATGTCGCTGTATTTGAGTGAGTTGCTTTTTATTTTAATAATCCAACAAAAATTCATATAAGTATAAATTAATAATCGATATTAAATTGAAAAAAAAGATCGACTCATGTGCGGACTTCCGTGTTTCTCTAACCATTGGGCTACCGTCTCCCATTCGTAACAACTGGTTAAAGCAGAAGCACGGAACGCTGTCGTTTCCGGTTCTAGTCCCGTCTGTCTCGTTTTTTTTTCATTTTGAATAGTAAACATCTAAACAATGTAAACAAAACACTGTAACGGTTTTAAACGCGATATATATTAGTTCCACTAGTTGGAATATTATTTATCGTGGTCACAGTGAGACTGGGACCACGGCTGCTGCAAAGCATCCGAAACATCGGGCCGGAGTTAAAATAATTTTCAAAGAAAAATTAACCAATGTATATCTCGTTTTAAAAAGTGTTTTATTTAAATGTGATATACGTAAATAAGTAGTTTTATAATTTTTTTTTATGTTTCAAAAGTTTTCTTTTAACATTGAGCTTGTGGTGTGGGTGTACTATCCAACAATGTAAGGTGTTATAAACATCGCTGAGAAAATGTCAAATCATATTGGGAAGTGTAATGTTAATAATTAGAATCAGTACGCGATTCCCACAGTCGTCTAATAGGTCGTGCACACAATTGCTCAAGCGAACGCCCTCAGATCAATAAACAGCTTAACTGTTTTTACCACACATTGAGTTCCCTGTATTTTATATTATACAGGAATCAAAGCATAAGAAATAACAGTTTCACATAATTCTGTCGGGCAAGGCACAATTTTAAAATCTATAATTAAAATAGAAATGGGTGTAAACTAGCTCAAGTTGTTACTGAAATATGCCTTACGAATATTAAATAATCTATACTAATACTATAACGCTGAAGAGTTTGTCTGTTTGATGGCGCTAATCTCAGAAACTACTGCTTTTAATTGAACAATAATTTATCTACGTAGGCCTTAGGCTATGGAACATCACGCTGCGACCAATGGGAGCGCAGAAACATCTCTGATGGCTTTGCGTGCGCTGCGAAACCAAAAAGCATGATTCCTCTTTTAATTATCTAAAATAGTGTCTGCGTCAGTATATGTCTATCTTTTTTTTATTTATTTTCACTTGAGTGTTGCACCGCCTGTCCACACTCAAGGACTTACTGAAAATCAGTCTCAGGTCAACAAAGAGTCTGATAAACTGAGTGAGATCCTGTTCTACTAGCAGCACGCAACATTATCTTATCCTGTTATTATTAATTTATACTGGTAAGATAAAATTATGTTTTGTTTTCTATCTTTTAGTAATAAGTGTAACATGTGCTTTTTTTTGTGCCTTAGTAGTCAATAAATTTCATTCTTACTTCTTTCTTTCTTTCTATCAGCTTAACAGATTATTAAGAAAATTTGATGGCCAAAATAACTATTCTACGCGGACGAAGTTTCGGCCACAGCTAGCTATAAAATAATAATTTAAATAAAAAATTATAACATCAATTGCTTGCTGGTAAAGACAAAGGATTGCGAAGATGCGTTTATAACTCAAGACCACCGCAAAGAGAACCGCGTCATTACGAACATGTGGAAAGCATTGTGTAAACCTCTGCGTACGCGCATGGCAACTGTGGAGCGTCGCGTGACGTCACGGTTCCATTGTTCGCCGAGTGTCGTTATGACGCGCTGGTATCCTTTCCGCGGTTTTATAATACCTTCTGTTATGACATTATATTTATAATGTAATTGCCTGTAATAATTGCAAATATGAAATATCGTTTTCGATTTTTTAAGTGCTCTGATGCGCTTTGTTCTATAGCCTAAAGCCTTTCTTGATAAATGCCCTAATCAACATAAACGTTTTTTTTTAATTCGAATCAGTAGTTCCCAAGATTAGCGTGTTAAAACAAACAAACTTATTAATAACTTTTAAGGCTTTTTTTAATGATAGTGGAGACAAGTATAGGGGTAACTTGATGTTAGCATTAAAACAAGATGCGCCCTCGAATTATTTCCGCATTGGATATTCGGAAATCCACAGGCTGAAACCGAAACGTGATTAAACTTCACGGCTTTTTACCGGCAATTAGACCGTCAAAAGTATTAGCAACGTGAGCTAGTAAATACTCCTTTTTCAATTGTAGGTTTCAAATTTGTGCCCTGCCCGACCGAAATTTGTGAATTGTTGTGTCCTTCGCTCAGTATCTTATTAACACGTTAAAGATATATACATACAACACGAAATATATTACTT